AAGGACACAGAGACACAGGGACAAAGGAGAGAAGGCCATGTGAATATAGAGTTAGAGAAAAATAACTGCCAACTGAAAATTCTTTACCCAGTATTTAAAACTTGTATTTCCTTCTAGTCTCCATGTTTTCTTTTTTTTTAATTATTTTTTAAATTTAAATTTCAGGTAGTTAACATACAGTACAGTATTGGTTTCTGAAGTAGAATTCAGTGATTCCTCACTTACATATAACACCCAGTGCACTTCATAACAAGTGCCCTCCTTAATACCCATCACCCATCTAGCCCATTTGCCACCCACCTGCCTCCATCAACCCTCAGTTTTTTCTCTATCGTTCAGAGTCTCTTATGGCTTTCCTTTTTTTCTTTTTCTCCTTCCCATATGTTCATCTATTTTCTTTCTTAAATTTTACATGTGGATGAGAGATCATATTACCATGGTATTTGTCTTTCTCAACTGACTTATTTCACTTAGCGTAAAACATTGCAGCTCCATTCATGTCGTCGTTGCAAAAGGCAAAATTTCCATTTTTGATGGCTGAGTAATATTTCATTGTATATATATACACCACATCTTCTTTATCCATTCATCAGTCAATGGACATTTGGGCTCTCTCCATAGTTAGGCTATTGTTGATAATGCTGATAATACATCAGAGTGCATGTATCACTTTGAATCTGTATTTTTGTATCCTTTGGGTAAATACCTAGTAGTGCAATTGCTGGATCATAGGGTAGTTCTATTTTTAACATTTTGAGGAACCTGCATGCTGTTCTCCAGAGTGGCTGGACAAGTTTGCATTCCCAACAATAGTGCAAGAGTGTTCCCCTTTCTCTGCATCCTCGTCAACACCTGTTGTTTCTTGTGTTAATTTTAGCCATCCTGACAAGTGTTAAGATGGTATCTCATCATGGTTTTGATTTGTATTTCCCTGATGAGTGATGTTGAGCACCATCTCATGTGTTTGTTAGCCATCTGGATGTCATTGTTGGAAAAGTGCCTATTCATGTCTTCTGCCCATTTCTTAACTGGGTTATTTGGGTTTTTTTGGGTGTTGAGTTGATAAGTTCTTGGTAGATTTTGGATACTAACCCTTCATCAGTTATGCTGTTTGCAAACACCTTCTCCCATTCTGTAGACTGCCTTTTAGTTTTGTTGATTGTTTCCTTTGGTGTGCAGAAGCTTTTTATCTTAATGAAGTCCCAATAGTTCATTTTTGCTTTTGTTTCCCTTGCCTGGGGTAACATGTCTAATAAGAAGATCCTATGGATGAGGTACAAAGAGGTTTCTGCCTGTGTTCTCCTCTAGGATTTTGATGGTTTCCTGTCTCACATTTGGGTAAATCCATTTTGAGTTTATTTTTGTGTATGGTGTAAGAAAGAAAGTCATCCAGTTTCATTTTCCTGCATGTTGCTGTACAGTTTTCCCAACACCATTTGTTCAAGAGACTGTCTTTTTTCCATTGGATATTCTTTGCAGCTTTGTCGAAGATTAGTTGACCATATAGTTGTGAGTCCATTTCTTGGTAGTCTACTCTAGTCTATTGATCTGTGTGTCTGTTTTTGTGCCAGTACCATACTGTCTTGATGACTATAGCTTTGTAGTATAGCTTGAAATCCAGGATCGTGATGCCTCCAGTTTTGTTTTTCTTTTTTAGAATTGCTTTGGCTATTTGGGGTCTTTTGTGGTTCCAGACAAATTTTAGGATTGTTCGTTCTAGCTCTGTGAAAAATGCTGGTGGTATTTTGATGTAAATATGTAGATTGCTTTCGGTAGCCCATTTTACCAATGTTTGTTCTTCCAATCGTTGAGCATGGAATGCTTTTCCATTTCTTTGTGTCCTCTTCAATTTCTTTCGTAAGTGTTCCGTAGTTTTCAGAGTACAGATCTTTTACTTCTTTAGTTAGATTTACTCCTAGGTATCTTATTGTTTTGGTGCAACTGCAAATGAGATCAATTCCTTGATTTCTTCTTCTGATACTTCGTTTATTGTTATATAGAAATGCAACAGATTTCTTGATTTTATATCCTGTGACTTTGCTGAATTCACGTATGAGTTCTAGCAATTTTTTTGGTGGAGTCTTTCAGGTTTTCTACATACAGTAGTATCATGTCATCTGCAAATAGTGAAAGTTTGACTTCGCTTGCCAATGCAGCAAGGGAATAAAGGTCCTTAACTTACAGGGGAAGATAGGTTCACAGCAGATTTGTCCACAGGACTTGGCAAGCCAGACAGGAGTGGAAGGAAATATTCAAGGTGCTGAATGGGAAAAATATGCAGTCAAGAATTCTTTATTCAGCGAGGCTGTCATTCAAAATAGAAAGAGAGATAAAGAGTTTACCAAACATAAACTAAAGGAGTTCATGACCACTAAACCAGCCCTGCAAGAAATTTTAATGGGGACTGTGAGTGGAGACAAAAATGACCAAAAGCAACAAAGACTAGAAAGGGCCAGAAAACAAAACCAGAAATACCAACTCAACAGGTAACACAATGGCACTAAATTCATATCTCTCAATAATCACTCTGAATGTAAATGCGCCAATCAAAAGATATAGGGTATGAGAATGGATAAAAAAAACACAATCCATCTATATGCTGACTACAAGAGGCTCATTTTAGACCTAGTCTCCATGTTTTCTAATGAAAATTCTGCTGTCTTTCAAGTCATTGTTTCCTTATGGTAATGAATCTGGGTGCTTTTAGGATTTATGTCTTTTGTATTCAGCAGTTTAACATGCATTTCTTTGGGTTTACCCTGCTTGGAGTTGGCTCAGCTCCTTGAATCTGTAGATTTATGTATTTCAGTTTCAGATGTTCCATTTGTAGTAGTAACAAAGATCAAATACATAGGAATAAATGTAATAAATATGTGAAGCCTATAGAAAAAAAATGCTAAAACACTCATGAAAGACACAAAAGTGGTTTTCAAAAAAGGTAAAGACATTCCCTATTCTTAGATGGGAGTCAACATTCTTAAGATGCAGTTCTCTCTAAACTGATTTATAAATTCATGAAATTTCAATAAAGACACCAAAAAGCTATTTTATGGAGCTAGGAAAATCTGATACTAACATTCAGATAAAAAAATAAACATACAAGAATAACCAGGAACACACACAAAGAAAAACTACAAGGAGTCTAGTTGTAATAATCTTTAAAATACACCATAAAACCTATATAATTTAAAATGTATTATCACATGCATAGAAAAATAAGACACTGGCAATAAATATAAAATCATAAATAAATCCCAAATATGCTTATTTAATATATGATAAAGGAGGCATCTCAGATCATCAGGAAAAGTGTGGACTTTTTAATAAAAGATGATGGCATAACTGGGTAGTCATTTGGATAAAGATAAAATTAGATACACATCTCACATGATAACAAGAATAAGCTACAAATGGATTAAGGACCTAAATGTTAAAAAGGAGACCATACAAGTCTCAGAAGGCAACATGGGTGAATTCCTCTTCAAATTCAGCATAAGGTAAGACTTTCTTAACTATGTTTCAAAATTCTAAGACAATAAAAGGTTGATATATTTGGCTCTGTTGAAATTAAAATATTTGTATGTCTAAAAAAAGTCATAAAATCAAAGTCAAAAGATAACTCACACACTGAAAGAATGTATTTGTATCATATACTACAAAGGATTGATATCTCTAATATGTATGGGACACAGGATCAAAAACCTGATGTACAAATGGGAAAAGGACATGACAGTGTTCCTAATGGCCAACACTATAACAACTTAAGCAATAAAAATAATGATATTACTGCATAATGATCTTAAGAATAAAATTTAAATATACATTAGTCCATACAAATATACATTAAAAATTGAATAAATGGTGATAAAGGATAGATATTCCTTTAAGAATAATTGCAATTAAAAAATATAAAAGGAAAGCAGGAAACAGAACAACACCATTAGGCAAATACCAACAGTCATAATGGTCTCAGACAAGATCAACTGATGAATGGTAAAATAAATAGGCACAAATTTTTAGAGAAGGAAAATATTTGCAGAGTCACAAAATACCTCCCCCAAGATATTTATTACAAAATGAAGAAACTTGTAACTTCATTACAGTGAAAAAATTCAGCGTATATACCACCTTAATCAATTTATCAAGGTTAAAATCACAAATAAAACATCAAGAACATGACCATGTTGATGCAACACACTGAGAAAGACTCATTACTTCTGTGGTATTCTTGGCAAAAATGCACAGCCACGTTCTAATCATAAGAAAACAGACAGATTGAAAAAGGAAGAGCGTCCTATAAAACAACTGTCTAGTATGTTTAAAAAGGTGTCAAGGCCATGAAACAAGGAAAGATGGAGGAATTATCCTAGAAAGGGGCCAACTACAAAGACAAGATAGCTAATTATGAATTGTTACCCCAGACTAGATACTGGGACAGGAAAGGAACATTAAAAAGAAAACTGATGGAAATTGAATAAGGTCAGTAATTTCATTAAAAATATTATACCAACGTTATTTCCTGATTTTGATAATTGTACTGTGGTTACTTAAGATATTAACAGAGGAAGATGAAAGGTATCTGAGAATTCTACGTACTATTTGTGCAGTTCTTCTATAAGTCTAAAATGAAATACAGAAAAGTTTTGAAAAGCAATTTAGAAAAATTGTACTTATATAGTGATAGAAAACAATTCAGGGTTACCAGGGGGGTCAGGGAAGGGGGGAAAGTACTAACTGCCCGGAGGCACAAGAGAACTTTTTTGGATGATGAAAATGTTCTATACCGTGATTGTGTTCAGAATCACAGGACAGTATCCAGTTGTCAAAACTCACTGAATTATGTACTTTGAGTGGTAAAATTTTGTTTTATGTAAATTACACCTCAATCCAGCAGACAAAATAAAGAATTTCAAATGTAAATACAATCTTTAAAAACAAGTATTGGGTTACAATCCCAAGCAGAATGGAGAAACATCAAATAAGATTATATGTGCTCTTACCAGATTAATTAACTGTGTGTGTACCACGTCTTCTACCAAAACTGCTGTTTCATGAAGAGGCCTCCTAGCATCACCTAAAGAAAACCTGCCAAAAAAAAAAAAAAAATTAAGCATACCAATATTAAAAACTAACAAAGGCAAAGAGTGAAAGATATTGATTATCATAATCTGTTAATAAAGTATAAATTGTTCTCTCAAATAACCAGAGTGGATGTACAATTTTCTATGGACAAAGAGTTGCATTTCTCCCACACAAGCTACAGCTTCCAAAGAAAATGCAGTGTTAGCTATGCTATTTCTTGATCTGTGCAGTCATTTTTAAGGGCATTTACATTTCAAATGGAAAATATTAACAACTACTTCATAATATTGGCCACTAGAAAATCATGTTACCATACCCAAAGTACTAATAAAGTAACATACTAATAGCCATTTAGAAAATTATAAAAGCATGCAATATAATTAAGCAAGTAATGTAATTAAAATGAAAAGTTGCTTAGAAAAATTTACATAAATGCCATAATATATCATTTCTAATTATATACAACAGATTGTCAAGAATGGATTATTAAAAGTACTTAATATATTTGGCTCTGTTGAAATTCATGAAATTCACATAAATATGGCACTAAATTCATATCTCTCAATAATCACTCTGAATGTAAATGCGCCAATCAAAAGATATAGGGTATGAGAATGGATAAAAAAATTTGTCCATTTTGTCTGGGATGACAATAACTTCTAAAACTTTTCTCAACTTTCATATGGTGGACCAGATGTGCAGAGAATCCCTTCCTGGTAAAGGACATTTGAAAATGCACAATACTATATTAACAAATTACATTTAAAGTTTATTTTAACCATCAGTGTAGGAGATAAAACAGAAGGCTGAGAAGATGAGAAAATACAGTTCCACTGGATACAGAGCCCTGGAGCAAAAATTTATTCTGAAGGCATCTAATTATTCATAGTAGCCAATAATCTGGATTTCATCTGGCATTGTATTCAAGATGTAGCAAAGAATGCTGGGACCCCAAGCAAGGCAGGAGATCAGTTTGAGGAACCAAATGTGAAGTCAGTGATATCTGGTATGTGTGAAAGCACTTTGGCTATCTTGCTGGAGGCTATGGGTGAAAGAACAAAAAATGTAATGCTGGCATGAGGATGGACAAATGGAACAGAATAGAGAGCCCAGAAATAAAATTTTGCATCATGTACGACTGATTTTCAATAAGGGTACCAGGAACAACCAATTTGGAAGGGACAGTTTTTTCAACAACTGATGCAGGGAAACAAGATATCCACATGCAAAAGAATGAAGTTGGATTCTTACCTTGTACCATATAAAAAAATAAACTCAAAATAGATCAAAGACCTAAATTAAAAAGCTAAAACTATAAACCTCTTAAAATAAAACCAGGAAATCTTCATGACCTTGGATTTGGCAAGGGTTTCTTAACTAGGACACCAAAATAACAGGCAACAAAAGAAAAAATAAATAAATTGGAATTCATCACAATTACAAACCTTTATACATCAAAGGACAAGACAGTGAAAAGACAACCCACTTACTAGGAAAATATTTGAAAATAATATATCAGATGAATCACCAGAATATATTTATAAACTCTTATAACAATAAAGAAAAAAAACAATTTTAAAATGGGCAATAGGCTTGAATAGATATGTCTCCAATGAAAATATACAAATAGCCAACAGCAAATGAAAAGATCCTCATATCATCAGTCATTAGACAAATACGAATCAAAACCACACTGAGATGCTACTTCAAACCCAGAAGAATGGCTATTGTCAACCAAATGGAAAGTGCTGGCTAGGATACAGAGAAACTGGAAACACTGTACATTGCTAGAGAAAATTCAAAATGGTACAGACACAGTGGAAAAACAGTTGGGTGGTTCTGGAAAATGTCAAACACAGAATGAGCTTTTGACCTGGCAATTCCACTCAAGGGTATATACCTCCAAAGAAATGAAAATTGAAAACAGGGATTCAAACAGGTATGTGTACACCAATGATCATAGCTACATCATCCAGAATTGTCAAAAAGAATTGTCAAAACAACCCAAATCTCCAATAACGAATGAATAAACAAACTATATACATATAACTAAATATTATTCAGCAATAAAAAGGAAAGAAGTTCTGATACATGCCCCTACATGAATGAATTTTAAAAACAGTATGCTAACTAAAATAAGCCAGACAAAAATGACAAATATTGTATGTTGCCACTTATGAGTTATCCGTAATAAGAAAATTCATAGAGACAGGAAGTAGAAAAAAGGACACAAGGGGACTGGAAAGTTTTTGCTTAATGTGTAGAGAGTTTGTCTGGGATGACAATAACTTCTAAAATAAATAGTGATGATGATAGCACAGCAGTTTGAATGTATTTCATGCCAGGCAATTGTACAGTTAAAAATAAGTAAGTGGTAAATTTTAAGTTATACCACAATAATCAATATGGATGAAAAAAAATTAACCAGACTAGATTCAGCTATAAAGGGAATTAGGGTTCAGAACAGCAGATCTGAGGAAATTACCCATAACACATCATGGGTAATAACAAAATATCATGATCAATGTTATGCCAAATATGTTGTTACTGTGGTGAAATGGATAAATTTCTTAAAAAAACAAAAAAAACAAATGGCCAAAGCTGACTCAAAAAGAAATAAAAAACCTGAATAAGTTTTATAAATTTTAAAGAAATTAAATCAGCAGTAAAAAAATCAAAGCCCAAACAAAACCCAAGCAAATGTTTCTCATCTGTAATTTTGTATCAAACATGCAAAGAATGGATTATTCTAATTTGATACAACTTTTAAAGAGAATACAAAAAGATATATACTCCCTAACTCATTTATTTAGGCTAGTATAACCTGGGTTTCAAAACTAGAAAAAAACAGTGAAAGAAAGTAAAATTACACACAAGTTTTACTCGTGTATATAAACAGAAAAAAAAACCATAATTAAAAGGCTTGAATCAAACAAAAGGTAGAATGAGGGGGAATTTACTTTCCTTCCTACCCTTCTCCTATGACCTCATGGGAGCTCCCTATGATCAACTAACAGAAAAAGAGAAAACTCAGGCCCTGGTTTACATATGGTCCTGCATGATATGCAGGCACCAACCAAAAGTGAACAGGCTGGAGCACTGCAGTCCCCTTCTGGAACATCACTCAAAGACAATGGTGAAGGAAAATCCTCCCAATGGGAATAACTTTTAGCAGTGCATCTAGTTGTTTATTTTATTCGAAAGGGCAAATGGTCAGATTTGCAATTACATACTGATTCATAGGCTATGGTCAGTGGTTGGCTGAAAAAGTGGTAAGGAACAAAATTGATGAGAAGGAAATCTGGGGAAGAGGTAGGTGGACAGATTTCTCTGAACGAGAAAAAAAAAGGTGAAGATATTTGGATCCCGTGTGAATACTCAGGGGCAACCTCAGCAAAGGAGAATTTTAATAATCAAGTGGATACTATCGGTTTTTTCACCCAATCATCCTGTCATCATTCAATGGGGCTCATGAACAAAGTGGTCATGGTGAGAGGGATGGAGGATATGCAGGGCCCAGTAACATGGAATTCCACTAATCAATGCCATCATTGTTACAGCCCCCTGCTGAGTGCCCATCTGTCAGCTGCAAAGATCAACACTGAGTTTCTAAACTGGCACCATTCCCCAGGGTGATCAGCCATCTTCCTTGCAAGAGGTTGATTACATTAGACCACTCCCATCACGAAAATGAAAGGGTATGGTTCTTACTAGAATAGATATTTACTCTGGATATGCATTTGCTGTCCCCACATGCAATGTCACTGCCAAAACTAACATCTGTGGACTTACAAAATGCCTTATCTGTTGTCATGGTACTCCATACAGCATTGTTTGTGATAAAAAAAAAAAAAAAAACCTCACTTCATAGCAAAGGAAGTGGTGCACTGGGTCCATGCTCAAAGAATTCACAAGCACTAGTCTTAACATGTTCCCCAACATTATGAAGTAGCTGATTTGACAGAATGGTGGGAATGGCTTTTGAAAATCCAGTTACGTGCCAACTAGGTGGCAATACCTTGTAGAGCTGGGGCAAGGTTTTCCAGAACACTTATACATCCTGTGAATTAACATCCAGTATACGGTGCCGTTTCTCCCACAAATAGGATTCACAAATCCAGGAATCAAGGGGTGGAATGGTAGTGGCAGCACTCATTATTACCCCTAAAGACCCACTAGCAAAATTTTTGCTTCCAGTTCCCATGACCTTATGATTTGCTGGCCTCGAAGTCTTTTCCAGAGGGAGGAATGCTTTCACATTTATTCCACTGACACAATTATTCCATTGAAATGAAATTTTAAGACTGCCGCTCAGTCACTTTGGATTCCTCATGCTTGAGTCAACAAGCAAAGAGGGAGTTACTGTGCTAGCTGGGGTGAGTGATGTTGACTACCAAGTGGAGACTGGACTGGTTCGCCACAGTGGAGGTAAGGAAGAGTATGTCTGGAATACAGGAGATCCCTGAGGCCACTTCTTAGTATTACCATGCCCTGTTATTAAAACCAATGGAAAATTACAACCACCCAAACCAGGAGAGGCTATTAATGGCCCAGATCCTTCAGGAATGAAGGTTTGGGTCATTCCACCAGGCAAAAAGCCACAACCAGCTGAGGTGCTTGCTGAAGGCAAAGGGAATACAGAATGTGTAGTAGAAAAAGGTAGTTACTAATACCAGCTATTCACATTACCAGTAAGAAAAACAAGGACTGTAATCATTATATTTCCTCCTTGTTTTGTTATAAATATGTTTGTGTGTGTGTGATTATTGGGCAAATATTGTTTCCTTCCCTTCCTTATTCCCTTATCATGTAACATAAGATGTATTGGATCAATAGCATAATATTTAATTATGTTTACATCATAGTATTTAACTTAGGGATATTAAGAAGTGTAAACATCACTCAAAGAATTAACCTCATCTTCTGGGAAATGTGTTAACACATTTTCAGTTGTACACTGGATAATTGTATCAAGTTAGGCAAAATATGACACTTATTGTCTT